AGCAATCAAAATAGCTGCGGGCAAACATGTCCGCAAGAACGTTCGGCAGGCAAGGGCCGGCAGTAGAAAGCACCAAAGAACAGCGCACCGAACTAACTCCACGGCGAAAGCCATGTCAGCAGTCAATATGCAAAGCGGCTAATGGAAACACTGCTGGTAGAACGATTCGACAGTTGGAGTTGGAGAATGCAACTCGAATTGCAGCTATGTAGAATTGCATCCACAAGTCAATAAAAAATGTTCTCTAAATGAGGCCAACCAAATGAAATCAGGAATTAACTCAAATTTGTTTTGCTTTATTTTTGTACTCAGCACTTTTTCTTCAAGCAAGTTATTACAGTAAATAAATATCCGTAATACCCATACTACTATTTGGCAGAGAAGAAAACCTATAAATACTTTTAATATCTTGACCAATTGGCAAACGAGGCAAATTCAGATTGCAGACTCATGGCCTGCTCAAGAATTGGTATTTAGCCCAAGCTAGTTACCTTGACGCCACCACCTCTCCACCAGTTCACCTCCTCCTCCTCCTCCGCCTCCTGCTATCCATCGACTACCACAAAGTTGTATAAGAGCGTGTAAACAAGCAGCCAACGATGACAGTTACAGACCCCACGAGTTGAATGCGAGCCTCAGAGCCCGAAGACTAAATGAAAATACCGAAATTTATAACTTTCTCGTTATGGAGCGTTGCGCTTAAGGTTTATTTATAAATACATATACATAAATGTTACATATATGTATTTATATTTATTCTTCGTTTTTTATCTTTTCATTTTTACCTTTGCCTCACATCGACACTCTCAGCGACTCTCTTTTGTTTGGCGGCTAAATTTGTCTCATCTTCTTATATTAATTTGTGTGTTATTGTATTTCGGCTCTTTGGTAGCAGCAACAACAACAACAGCCATAGTGGCTGTGGCAGTGGCCATAACAAAGGTAGCCAAAAGGTATCGAGTTTTATAACCTGCTCGAACTCATCAATTTCGTTGCTAACAACACGCAGACACGCCAAAAGTGAGAAAAGGTATGCAGCACGGCCTGCCATTCGACTGAATCATCATCAGCAGCAGCAGCAGCTAACTCTGTCTCCCTCACCCTCTCCCTCTGTCCCTCTCTCTCTCTCTCTCTCTCACTCTATCTCTGGCTTATATGATCTGAGATTTTGTGGTTAAGTTACGTTTATATACCCTGTAAGCAGCTTTAAGATGATTGCATTTTGGATTCGGCTGAGAATTATTTCAAAGCAAGTGAGAGAGAAATGAAGAGACATTTGAATATATTTATATATTTTTATAATAACTATTTGTATAGAAACATATTTTCCGTTTCAGTGAACTCTTAAATTATCTGCAAGGTGTCTGAATAATCTGCCAGTCATATTAAGTTATGTTTTTAAAATAAATGTTTTGAAAATAAATGTTCATATATCCTACGATTTCTAGGGCATCTAGCTAGTCAAGCACTCCCTATTTCAGTTTGCTGGAATTGCGACTGCGCTGCGAACGTCATAAGTAAATTTCTTTGCGTTGTTTCGGGAGATTTCAAAAAGCCATTTAGAATAAATTAACGTGGACCTACCGCTAAAACTGATCGCCGATGGACTCAGGCCGAGTTCCGTTTGCCTTTGTTTCTTTCCATCTATCTCTCTCTCCCTCTTTCTCTGTTAGTACCTCGGTCCCGCTGCCTCTCACCCTTCGTGAGTGCGTCGCATTAATCTGATCCCTCATCAGCGTGGCCCCAAACAGGATTAAAATTAGTTTTTGATTACGCTTTCGAGCTTCTGGACAACGCAATTTGTGGCTGACTGGGAATTGGGGCTTGGTGTTGGGTGCTTGGTGCTTGGGGCTCTGGTGCCTGGGCTCTGTTCTGCATCGGGGGCCAGGGGCGTATAATTAGCGCTTTTAGCCAAACTCTTTGTCGCTGCGACTCAACGCGGCTCTTTTGCATCCCATTCGAAGGTCGACGGTTTGTCATAATTTCAGCCGCGTTTGTCGGCGAAACTTATAAAGCTATTGGCAGCTATTTAGCCAGGCTGAGAAGAAGAGAAGCTGCCCAAATTCCTGTTGCTCATAAATCCTCACAAGCGGCTTCTAATTGAGTCTTCCGTTGCCGACACACACACACGCACACACACGCACACATTCTCACACAGTCGGGCAACAAATTCCTCGAGTCATGCGGGATTCGAACCTTGCAGCTCATCTTACAATCTCTCGCGCTCCTCCACACATTTGATGAGCGTGTGAAAGAGCACCTTGTGCCATGTGAAAGCAAAACACTTTTCCTAGCCCCGATAAAGATCTTAGGTAGCACTTCAATGCTCCCCGAGGCTTTTAGCTGCGGCTTAGCTGGCGGCCTGATTGCAGCCAGATTTGATGTCGATGCCTGATTGATCTATAGCTGGCTTTAATTGAAACGTTTTTCTCTGCTCTCGATTCTTAATTAACATAATAGCTGCCTGTCCGGCTGCTCGCCTCTGTGCGGCTCTTCATTTTCCCCCTTTTGACACTCTTGCCAGATCAGCTCAGCTGCTCAGCCTGACCTGTGCCTGCACGGTGTGCTCTGCCTTTAATGAATTGCCTTCAATTTGTTGGCGCGCACGTTGCAGCTACTTAATTTAACTAATTACCGCCAACGCCTAATGGCCAATGCTTGATCGACACGATAAGGCACGAAGCAGACTACTATAAAGATGTATTTAAAGACATATATATATATATGCATACATACATGTGTATATACAAGACAATACATGCGATTGTCAGTTGGCGCAGGCGAATAATAGAGTTGAGCTAAACCAGCTGAGCCAAGCCCTTCTTCCTTCCTCCTACACAATGTCACGTTATACTCTACTTTTGGTCATATCACAATCTCGCTACATATGGCATTGCGTATTACAAATATAATGTTGACAAGTTTGCAAAGAGTTCATAAGGATTTAGGTAGTAGATGTACTAGTATCGATAAGTATATAGTGGTATGTAGTATATAGTAGTAAATAGTACATAGTACTAGTAGTAGATAATAATATGTATATACTTACTACTACTACTATCTAATTTATACTCTACATCTATTCTTGGTAAGTGTATATACGATTCGTCAGTCGTATTTAAATGAGCTCGCGCTTGTCTAGTTTGTTTTCTCAATTAGCTACGCTGGGCAGTCGACATAACTTATGCTTATTTTGGAACGAACAACAGCAGCAAAAGTCTAGTCTTTCCTTTAGTCTCTCTCCCACTTGCCCCCCTCTGTCACTTGGCTGTCTCTCTGATTAGTTATGCTGATGACATTGTTTGTTCTGTTCATGCCACACCCACTCCCACTCCCGCCCACACACACTCATAATTCATTTGGCCAATTTGAGCAGCGAATGTGTGACTTAAAGCACGACTTGGCCATAATTAATAAAGCGCAACAAATGGCCAACACACACACTCGTACACACACCCAAATGTAAATGTAAGTGCAGCCGCGAAAACACTCTAATGAGGGGCGTGGCTTGCTGCCAACTTTGGCAGCAGGAGGCGTACTTCATTGGCCAAAAGTTTAATTGGCAACTAGCGGGAATGCCTGCCTCTCCTTCGGGTTTTCACATTTTTTGGCCAAAACTTGATTGATTGGTGTACAGAGTGCAGTTACTAAATAACAGACGATAGATGACTACACTCTCTCTCTCTCTGACCCTCTGTCTCTCTATCTCCGTCTCTGTTTTTAATTAAAAATTTAACTATCGATAATTTTCTTTATGTCAGACAACTATATAGACTCCAACCTTTATATTGAGGACGATCTCTTATATATCTGTCGGCTTAAACTATTCCTAACTGGGCATATCATGAGCTTTGAATAATATCATAGATAAAATTCACTTTTTACTTGACTCTTTATTATATTATATAACATTAATTCTCTCTTGCTACCCTATCTCCTGCTTTGATATTAATCTACTGATGTACTTCATGCATATTCCCAAACTTGATCAGATCAAGTATGTTTATCATGTCGTGACTCGGAATATACGAAGCAATTCTTACACGACTCTCCATACATAATACAGTATTATGTACGTGTGTCTATCAAGGCAAATGTTAATGCGCGTGCTTCCTTCAGCCGGCAGCGCTACTCGTAAAGGGCGTGTTGGCCCGGTCGACCGACCGACCGAGCGATTGACCGAGCAGTCTAGATAAATGAACTTGACGATAAACACATCACAAGGGTGTCAAAATGGCTCTGGGTTAGCTCAGCAGCAACCCTTAGCTACTCGCGTACTCAATTGTTAATTGCTCGTTGCGTTGTTTAACAACAATTTGAGCCAAGCAGCCAGCTGCCATTGCCAAAAAGACGAAGCAGCGCCATTTCCGTTCATTCCGATGCGTTCATTCGTCAGGCCGATGTCTGGGGCACAATTTATGCATTAATAAAAGCCCACGGCAACATTTCATCCAGATACGTGGGTCAATAAATAAACAAAGCTTAAATGTGATGCCCAGGCAGGCATTCATCTATTAGCTTTAAACATGCTAACAAAACAAATCCGAAACGCGAAACGCTTAAGAAAACAATAATAAAGGAAATCAACTATAAAATAGAAGAGCTGAACAAGAAGAAGACGAAAAGTATCGAGTGAATCGGGTAATAAAAACTTGATGATCGGGCCACATCAAGCAAACGCAAGCTATATACACATTTATAGATATAAAACAAAGAAGCTCCAAATTCCACGCCCTTTTTATGAGAGAGGGAGGGGGCAGTGCAGGGGTATTCTATTATGAATTCGATTTCGCTTTGAAATTGTTTTAACTAGACTTGAATTGAAAGTGGAACAAGAGTCTATAAATAATGTTGAGATAGATAAAACTTAATAGAGGCACTCAAACTTTAAATAGTTTATTTCGCTTGAAAACCTTTTTTCTAGGTTTTGTATTGCCCATAATAAGAGCTCGGTCTGTATATCTCTCGTCATAATTTATGATACATTTCACACATTACAGATCCCGCCACGCTGAGCATCTTTGCGACCAGATCGAACCCGAAAAAGAAGCGCAAATCTCGCACCGCATTTACGAACCAACAGATCTTCGAGCTGGAGAAACGATTCCTCTACCAGAAGTATCTCTCGCCCGCGGATCGAGACGAGATCGCCGCCGGCTTGGGTCTGTCCAATGCTCAGGTGAGTATATTGAAATTATGATTATAAAAATTAGGATACACTCAGAGAAATTGTGGTTGACAATACAAGAAAATCTATTGCATTCAAGAGAATCGTCTCTTAGAGAAACTCCAACTAATTATAGTATTCAGTGAACGCTCGCTATAAACATTTGGTAGATATATTTTGTATAGACTTTCCTCGACTTTCTCTGAGTGTAATTGAGTCTTCCGCTTTATTTAAATAACTCTCTCTGTGTACTTAGGTTATCACCTGGTTCCAAAATCGACGCGCCAAACTGAAACGCGACATGGAGGAGCTGAAAAAGGACGTGCAGAGCGTGAAACAATTGTCAGCGAACAAAAGCTTTTTAGAGAATGTTAATGACTTGAGTATTTTAAAGACCCGACCAGTCAGCAGATCGCCCGCCCCCGCATCATCCCCATCAAAGCACTAGCAGCGGCGGCAGCAGCAGCACCGCCAACAACCGGGACAAGGAGGAGCTGCGCATGCTCAAGATGATGACCCTGATGCGCTACTCTGATGGGAAGCTGCTCTACCCCCAGCCGGAGTTACGTTAACTGAAGATTAGCTCAATTTGTAAATTGCTAAAAAGGAAAACACACACTCCCACATAAACACACACACACACACACACACACACACACATACGCACATACACACGCGACTTCTAATTTGCCAAAAAAAAAAAAATGAATATATGAAAAACCATTTTCCGTTTAATGATTTTCCTAATTATAGAGTATTAAATTTCGTATTAGTTGCTTGTGATTCGTGTCTATGTAAACATAATTGATAAGTGTATCTATATTAAAGAGTGTGCATAGAGATGTATTTACTGTGTTAACCCATTTGTATTTCATAAGTCTTGCAATTTAAAATAAATTTTAGTTTCAAGATTCATATCAACAACAGAGATTGTAGTTTTTAATTTGACTAAACTAATTTTAGCGATATTTCTAACATTAGAAATAAATGTCGACATTATCGAGTTCTTACCGTAAACATCACACAATTTTTAAGAATGTCTGACATGATGTTGTCATATAAAACATATGGCACTCTGTTGCCATACGTATCAACTGAGCTGCTTACATTCTCGAGCAACGATTGGTTTGCGTATATGCTATGACTAGCTCCAATTAGAATACACAAAAATAATGGTATGCACAATACTGCTTGATGTATTTACAGAATTCAAGCAGTGAAAAATTACAAATGGTGCTTTTCCATGCTAAATTCAGCCAATGACCAAAGAACACAGTGGGATTCAGCATAGCTGACTAAAATACTGGTTGGTAATAAGCAGTACAACTGCTTGTTGCCATCAAAGTTACGCACCAAAATATATCCTTTTCATCAAGCAAAGCCGAACGCTTAGCCTAGATACCAACCAAAGGCATAAAGATCACAGTCTAAATTCAAAGGAAAGTTTTAATATTTTACTTTATATACAATATTAAATACAAATCACAAAAGAAAAACAACTCATATAGTTCAAGTTTTTAAGTTGATTTACAAAGTTTTCAACATTTACTTGAAATAATCTCAAGAATATGACAATATGCCCTTACTTGTATGTAGCTTTTCGTTTCTGTTTGGCATTTAAACCATAAAAATAGAAATCGTTGAGAGAGGCGGCACATAAAATCGTGAAACTGCAAAGACTTAGTGCAAATTATGAATTATGAAGACGTAAAAATGGATATTGGCAAATTTACGAAATGGGGAACGATTTAGCGTTCGATTTGTTTTCATTCCATGTTGATGCGAGGCGCACAAATCAAAATGCAAATTACGTCGATTTTATTGACAAGTGAAAATAAATAGAAAGCCAACTAGAAACAACAAAGCCAACGCCAATTTCAGCTGAGGGCAAACGCATCCAGCTCAACAAGTCGTCAAAGGTCAACAAACTGCATCCGAAATTGAAGCGGCAGCAAGATCGGCTTTAACATCCACTTGAGTGGGAGCACGGAGCACTTCCCAGAGCCGAATCGAGCCCTCTGCTAGATAACGCCACATAATGAGACAATTAGTCGAATTATTACAATTATTGTGTGGAAGCTGCGGCTCCACTTCAGTCTCACAATTTTGGACACTTACAAGTGGTTGGCCTCTATCAGAAATCAATTTCAATTCGATTTCAATTCTCACTCAACTTCGTCGCGCTGGCTCCCACAGGGATTAGGCAAGGACATGCCACGCCCTGCTGCACAAATACAATGCCTTGATTAATGCCACACGAGCGCCTTCGCTGAGTTAAGGGTGATTAGCTCTTGCGGCATTTACATAACCGAGCGAGAGCTGGGGGTGGGGGCGGTTGCTCGGACCACCCGCACGGCCTGCTGCACTGTATGCTCCACGCTCCTCGGCTTTTATTGCTCACAAAGTAGCATAAACAATTCGCCCAGCTTCCAGCTTCTAATATGCGAGAGGGGGTCGGGGCGTGGCAACACCTGATGGGGCTAATGTGGAGACGAAGAGACACAAACAGTGACAGGGATTTTATGGACCTGCATGGAGAGTGCATTAAACATGCCCCATCTCGTGCCGTGATGTTGCGGTTGGCAGTGCAGCAGCCTCCCCAGTTCCAGTTCCATTGTTTGTTGTTGTTTAGAGATTTGCTTGTTTGAAATATGGTTTTCCATAGTTGTATGGCATGCACTAACAAACTTTGTTTGAGTTTAAGGAACTGAACTACTAAAGAAAGAGACTTCTGTGGAGCGGCATTGTATACCGAAATAAAATTGAACTAGTCGGAGCATATGAACCTCTAAGGGAATCGAACAAGTTTGAGCAAATAAATATCTTAATAGACTTCTGAGCGAAGAGATGCAATTCGAAGATGTTTAATGAACCAATTACAAATATAAGATATATAAATGCATATGTATACATTGCACATTCATACACACATATGTATATGCATATGCATACATACGCTCACAAATATATGTATATAAGCATACACTCAAAAGCAATATCAATACATTAGTCTTATATTGGGGCACATTACAATAACACACTTACCCAAGTCGATAATTTAACACTCTTATACTCTCACTTTACTTTTTACTCTCTCTCTCTCTCATCCTTATATTATCTCTTTGTGAATGATGGCAGAGACGGAGTCAGCAAAAAAGCTCTGCATGTTTGCTTCATGCTAAAGGCAATTTCAGCTAATGCTTTCAACATTTATACAATCATATATTGCACTTCACACATAAACACACTGAAAAAACAATATAAAAAAAATAACACTTAACATTATCTAAGTTGCACACTTTTATGCATATAGGATGCGCACTTTGTAGCTGCTGCAGTCTACCATAGATTTTATATGCAAATATGTATGTATGTCATATATGCATGTATATATATAACGGTATCCACTGGCACGCCGCGACGTAGAAGGCATTTTTGCGAATCATTTATATATGACACTTTTCATGCAAACACATAACTAAACAATGTAAATAAATAATATTTAATACTATTTGATTTAATTGAAAATACATTAAAATCACTCAACCGACGTGGAAACGATCGACCGAAAAAACAGACGCGTGATGACTGATGCTTAGTGCACACATAAAAGGTTCACTTTGCTGAATGTGCCATCAGGATAACGGGATCAAAAGCGTTACAGGCAAAGGAGTGCTATTCATATGTCTCTTTTGCTCTGCCTCTGAGACATTGAGACCAGAGTCTACAGCTTTGCAGCAGTGGCAAACTCTTTCCCACTCTCTCTCACTTCCTCTTTTTTCAATCTGCAGCTGCTGCCTGTCATTGAGATTAAGAACCGATGACGTCAAAGGCATTTTTTTAAGATTGGAGCAATGTAACTCACGAGTTATATGTAGCACTCTACTCAATACCATAAATTAATTATATTTCTGCTAATTATATAGTATTAAGTTGACTTAAACAAAAATAAAAAAAAATTAAATCACCAGGCGACAAGGACCAACCGATCGAGAAAACAGACGCGCGCTGACTAATTCCCGACTCTCTAGGAGCGCGACCACGCATAGTCCGCATGTGAAAAGCTCGCTTTGCTGAATATTCAATTAGGATAACAGGATTAAAAGTATTGGCGGCAAGGGCGAGCAAGCAGTGCGCTATTCGTGTATCTCTTTTGCTCCGCCTTGGATTTATTCGTTGCATTGCAGTTCAATTGCTGGGTTCCAACGAAATTATTAAACGACATCATAAGCAACTGGATTAATGGTGAGGAGTAGCGACCGTATGTATGTACATATGTGTATATGTGTGTATATTGATAAAATTAAAAAAAAAACTAATATTGAAATAAACACAATGTTTGAAATTAGTTACTTTGTTGACGACTTAAAAAAACAAAATATATATTTAATTAAAATTTGAGTCTTATATTTAGTTCTGCTTGGGTCTCCCAAATTCTGTGTGGTCTCAGTTAGCCAAGCGCAGTGGTTGTCGCGACTCGACGGGCAGTTCCACTCAGGGGCGACAAAGCATTGTTATTGTCATTGTCATTGGCATTAGATGATGTTTATGTATGTGTGTCGCAATTGTGGACAGCCACCGCGTGTCCTGTGGTGCAAATCAAAATAAACAACTTGGTCCAGCTGTCTAGACATGGCTTGGCGGCAGCGGGCTGCCGACAGTTGACCAACCAACCAACCAATTAGAGCCACCTTTCCACTTGACGAACTGGTCAAAATATTGAAGCAATCTATGTCTGCCACGCTGACATGCTGCCACGCTGCCACTTGAGGCAAAGATTCACACATATTTCACTATGTCCTGCCAACACACACACTACTCAAGTGCAGCCGTGTCCTGTGTCTTGTGTCTCATGTCCTGTCTGGCCGACAAGTAGTAGCCGGCGCAGGCGTTACTTATAAACAAAGCCACACGCATGATTAGATGATCATGCCACCCTGTCCACGGTTTCCAATTGCCTGCCACCGGCGCCAACGAAACCGGAGATCGAACTCAAACGACATCTAATTACAATGGTGCATGATGCTGTTGGCGGGCAGAGGGAATTTTCGGACAAATATGATGTGCTACGCGGCTCCATGACAGATTGGTGGGGTAAAGCTCCAACTGCAAGAAAGACAGATGCTTGACTCTCTGCCTCTTTCCCTCTTTGAACAAACGTGATAATCATGATAATCTATCTATCTATTTATATTTCTATTTAACTCTTTCTTTTAAGTTGAGAGAGCAAATTCCGTGAACGCTTTGAAAGCTACTCACAAACTTACTCCCTCTCTCCCGCTCTCATGAGATCAAATCTGACTGCCTGTCTCCAGCTGGAACAGAGATCATTGCCTATCTCAACTTCTACGCTTCCATGACACGCTCGTGCAGCTCTTGAGGTAGACAATGAATATGGTGAGACTTTCTCTCTACTTCCACGATCATTCTGATTGCGGGTGAAGGCCAGCAGAGACCTGGGTACATGGGGAATACGACGGGGTGGTTGCAGCTGAATCGTTTGGCCTCTGCGCTTCTTACTTGTGAGCTATTAAGTGCCTGGCTATTCACTTTGGCCAATGTGCGGTTTTCAATTCATTTCAATTTGGTCTTTTGTTTTTTTGTTTTTTGTTGGCCGTTGTTCGTTGTTCGCTTTTGGTTTTTGATTTTTCCATTTTCCATTTGCTGGTTACCAAATAGTTTCAATTATTATGGGCTATTGGGTATTGGGCCTGGACAAGTACACGTATTATTAATGTAATAGCGGCTAATTGCGCATTTGT